TTTTGATGTCCTCTTTTACATCTTCATGTTCATCCTTTTGCTGTTTATTGTGGTTATCACTTTCACAGAAATTTAAAAATTTTTTTTTAATCTCTGGACTGGCTTATTTAGGTGATTTGCTTTCCAATTGTGATTTTCTCTTTCTTATATATTCTTCTTTTCTATTTAGAGAAGACCTTTCAGTATTTCCTTTAGGATAGGTTTAGTATTGCTGTATTCTTTTAGTTTCTGCTTGTCTGAGAAATTCTTTATCTTTCCTTCTATTCTAAATGATAATCTTGCTGGGTAGAGTATCATAGGTTGCAGACTTTTCCCTTTCAGGACTTTGAATATATCTTGCCCCTCCCTTCTGGCCTTGCAACGTTTCTGTAGAGAAATCAGCTGATAGCCTTATGGGGGTCCCCTTGTAATTAACTCTTTGTTTTTCTCTTGCTGCTTTTAGAATCCTCTCTTTATCTTTAAATTTTGCTGTTTGTATTATGTCTTGGTGTAGGTCTATTTGGGCTTACCTTGTTTGGGACCCTCTGTGTTTCCTATACCTGGATATGTTTCCTTCTTTATGTTTGGGAAGTTTTCAGCCATAATTTCTTCAAATACATTTTCAATCCCCATTGGCATGCTTTATATTATCCCATAGGTCTCTTATATTGCTTTCATTTTCTTTTTTTTTTTAATTTGCCTTTCTGTCTGCTGTCCTGATTGGGTGATTTCCATTATTCTGTTGCTATCTTCCAGGTCACTTATTTGTTCTTGTGCATTACTTATTCTGCTGTTCATTGCTTTTAGTTCAGTTGTCATCTCAGCAAATGAGTTCTCTAATTTTTCTTGGTTATACTTTATAGTTTCTAGTTCCTTTTTTTTTTTTTTACAGTACTCTGCATTTCTGTCAGTAGCCTTCCTTAATTCTTTCAGTATTTTCATTATCTCCTTTTTGAAATTGGTGTCTATTTGACTGAAGAGGTCTGTTTATTTGTTCTTTCAGGGGAATTCTCTTGGTCTTTTAACTGTGAGTGGTTCCTCTGCTTCTTCATTTTACTTATATTTCTCTTATTCTGTGAGTTTAGGAGAAACAGTTAGCTACTCGTCTTGGAGGGCTATTTATATGTGGGTCTGTCCCTGTGTATCTTGTGTGGGTTTAATATTTTTGGTGCGAGGGCTGTTTTTATTATTTATTTATTTGTTTATTTATTTGGCTGCATCAGGTCTTAGTTGTGGCACGTGGGATCTTTGTTGCAGCATGTGGGATCTTTCATTGCGGCGCATGGGCTCCTCTTTAGTTGCACAGGGGCTTCTCTCTAGTTGTGGCATGCGGGCTACAGAGCATGCAGGCTTAGTTGTCCCGTGGCATGTGGGATCTTAGTTCCCCAACCAGGGATCGAACCTACATCCCCTGCATTGGAAGCAGATTCTTAACCACTAGACCACCAGTAAAGTCCCATGAGGGCTGTTTTTTTTTTTACCTGTAGCCTCTTTCCTCAGCATGTGCTGGCCATCATCCCCTTGACAGGGGGTGTGCAGATATGGGAGCTAGTGCCTGGTCTTGGGGTTCTCGGTGGCACTGGCAGATCACGTGCACCCCTAGAGCATGCAAAGGGAGTAGAGGCAGCTCACGACCAATCCTGGAGTCCAGAAGGGTGGTGGTGGCAGCTGGTGATTACTCCTAAAGCCCAAAGGGCAGTCGCTGCTCGTGACCGCTCCTGGAGCTCGTGTAGGCGGTGTCCTGCTGCCTGAGAGCTCCTGCAGGGAAAAAGGCTGTTGTGGCAGGTCCTGCCCCTCCCCTCACGCACCGCCCACACAATGGCACCTGGCCTCTAAAGCAGCCTAGGTTTCCTCCACGTACACTCCCAGGTGTGGTTGCACCAGACTCTAGCCCCTTCAGGCTGTCTGCGTGCAGCCCACTCCAGTTGTCTACCTGGGTCTGATCTCTGAAGCCCAAGTTTACACACCCAGCCCCCGCCCATACCAGAGGACATGTGTCTTAGGCTGGGGAGTGCAGGGCAGTGGCACTGTCTGTCTCTCCATTCTAGCTGCTGCAAACCAGTTGCTGCATTCTCCTCCCAGGCTCCAAAGCTCCCCCTCTGCCCCAGCTAATCTCCCCACTGGTGAGGGGACTTCCCAGGGTACAGGAACCTTTCCTCTTTCACAGATCCCTCCCAAGGGCCCAGGTCCTGTCCCGATTCCTTTCTCTTTTTTTTCTCTTTTGTCCTACCCAGTTACAGGGAGATTTTCTTGCTCATTTAGAGTTCTGAGGTCCTCTGCCAGCGTTTGGTAGATATTCTGTGAGAATTATTCCACATGTATGTGTATTTCTGATATATTTGTGGGAGGGGGTGAGCTTCATGTCCTACTACTCCACCATCTTGATCACTCATCTGCACTGACTTTTGAATGTTAAACCAATCTTGCATCCCTGAGTTAAACCCAACTTGGTCATAATGTATGACCTATATTGGTGGATTCGAAAGTTTACTTGAGGCTTTTTTGCTTGTTCACAAGGAATATTGGTTTATAGTTTCCTTGTTATGTCCAGAATATGTAAAGAACTCTTACAACTCAAGAACAAAAGGACAAACAACTCATTTTGTTTGAAATGGCCAAAAGACTTGAATAGATATTTCTCCAAAGAAGATATACAGATGGCCATTAACCACATGAAGAGATGTTCAACGTCGTTGTTCATTAAGGAAATGTAAATCAAAACCACAGTGGGCTATCACTTCATACCCACTAGAATCATTTTAATCAAAAGAATGAAAAATAAGTGTTGTCAAAGATGTGGAGAAATAGGAGCCCTTGTATATTGCTAGTGGGAAGGTAAAATGGTGCAGCTGCTATGGAAAAGAGTTTGGTGGTTCCTTAAAAAGTTAAGCATAGCATTACCATACGATTCAGCAGTTCCACCCCTAAATATATACTCGAGAAATGGAAACATACGTCCACAAAGAAACTTGTATACAAATGTTTATATTTTTAGAGCATTATAATAGCCAAAAGGTGGAAACAACCCAAATGTCCATCAGTGACAGATGAACAGATGAATAAATTGTGATATGTGCATACATGCACAGATACACACACATACACACACACACAGGAATATTATTCAATCATAAAAAAGAATGAAAAATTGATGCATGCTACAACTTAGATGAAACTTGAAAACATTATGCTGAGTGAAATAACTCACATAAAAGGACAAATATTGTATGATTCTACTTACATGAAGTAACTAGAGTAGTCAAATTCATCTGGACAGAAAGTATAATGATGGTTGCTAGAGTCTGGGGGTAGGGGAACATGGGGATTTACTGTTTAATGGATATAGAATTTCAGTTTTGCAAGATTAAAAAAAAGTTTTGGAGACTGATGGTGGTGATGGTTTCACAACAGTGTGAATTTGCTTAATGCCACCGAACTATACAGTAAATTGTTAAAAGGGTAAATTTTATATTAAATTTTACTACAATCAAAAAAAATAAGGGGAAAGAAAGGAACAAAGAACCAGTAGATGGTACAACTTGGATGAATCTTAAAAACATATGCTAAGTGAAATAAGTCAGACACAAAAAGTCACCTATTGTGTGGTTCCTTTTTTACAATATATCCAGATTAGGCAAATCCAGAGAGACAGAAAGCAGGTTAGAAGTTACCAGGGGGTGAGAGGAGTGGGAAATAAGGAGGGATTGGTTAATGGATATGGAGTGTTTTTATGTGATGATAAAAAAATTTTGAAAGGGAGAGCTTGTGGTTACCAACGTTGTGATACAGTAAACACCATCGAATTACACACTTTAAAATCATTCAGTGTATGTTATGTGAATTTGATCTCAATAAAACACACACACTCACACATTGCCAGTCAAGCAAAACACATCCTACCACGTTCCTCTGGGACACGTGGTACAGGCCTGCAAGGATCCTTTGGGCTCTTGGAAGAAAATGTTTAATCAATCTTTTTAATTAAAAATAACCTATTTAAAGTAGTATATATGTATTATAGATTGTTTAAAGTGCTGAAAGCACATACAAGAAAATAAAAACATCTCATTCCTACCACTCAGAGATTGCTATTATTAGCACCTCTTGTTTTCTTTCTAGAGTTTTCTCCTTTCTGTCTCTTCCCCACCCCCTCTCTCCACACACACACACACGTATTTTTAACCAAAATGAAATTATGCTGTTTGTTCTGTTTGTAAATTTGGTGTGTTTGGTTATGATCTTCATCTCTCCATGTTGACACATTTTAATTCATCTAATAATTACAATTTAAGTTCCCTCAGTATTCCAAAATAGTTTACAGTAGATCGATCCAAATTAGATTCCAGTCTAGGGACAGGTATTGCATTTTGTTATGTCCTTTAAATCCCTTTTATCTAATGTATACACCCCCCCTTTTTATGACAGAGATTACTTGAAGAAACTCAGCCAGTTGCCTCATATATTTCATCTTTTAAAAACGTGTTTTGTTTTATATGCTTCTTAAGTACATTAAGTAATTACGTATTGGGGTACATGATCAAAAGTTTTTAGTGATAAGGGTACAAGCATCACAAATGGTTAAAGACTGTAGGGTATGCAGGTGTTTATTGCACTCATCAGTTTTTTGTAAGTTTGAAGTTCAAAATAAAAAAATAAACATTAAAAAAGAAAAAATGGTTTAGAAGATTACTATTCTAGTCTACCATTTTTCCAGAGTGTGCACTTGTCAATTCAGGAGTCCACCTAAACCTCTGGAATCAGATTTGGAGGTGCAGCTGGGGAAATGGGCATTTCTAACAGTCTTTCTCGTGGTTTTGATGCTCAGGGATGTAGAGAGGTGATGCTTACCTTGTGCTTTGTGATCATTTCCAGAATTGACACCCCTCCTTTGTCTATTGCATCAATATTTATCGAGCATGTACTCTAGGCCAGTCCCACCAACTGGGACTGTGAGTGATAGGCTGGAAAGGCAGAGGGAGGCAGCTCTGTGGGCAGTTTTGCAGTTTATTATGGTGGCATCTAACACACTTGCTCCATTAGCCTGTTACCTTCCTTGATGTTCCCCTGTCAGGATTATGAAGAAGCTGTGCTCTTGCTGTTAGAAGGAGCTGCCTGGGAAGAAGCTCTGAGACTGGTAAGAGGACTTCAAAACTCCTCCCTGCATGAAGTGCTAAGCGGAGCAAGAGCCTGCACAGGGGAGACAGTGTCAGCCGCAGTCCCTCGTCTTCGGAGCTACTGAAATTTGTTAGAAATAGTTCAGGTTCCTGGTCTAAGGATAAGCAGTGCTTTTTATTTTTTTTTATTTTTTTTTTTTATTTTTTTTTTTTGTGGTAAGCGGGCCTCTCACTGTTGTGGCCTCTCCCATTGCGGAGCACAGGCTCCGGACGCGCAGGCTCAGCGGCCATGGCTCACGGGCCCAGCCGCTCCGCGGCATGTGGGATCCTCCCGGACCAGGGCACGAACCCGTGTCCCCTGCTTCGGCAGGCGGACTTGCAACCACTGTGCCACCAGGGAAGCCCAGCAGTGCTTTTTAAACCATTTAAAAAGTTTATTCTTGATGTTTGGAATTAGTCCTCTAAATATGAATTTTACTAATTTTTACTGAAATGAATTGAGTTTTCATTGGCTACCTTATAGGAGGCCTACTCCTCTGGAAAATATCCTGTCACCTCTGAAAGTGATCCATTTCCAAGTATCTTAACTTTCCAGTGATTTGAAGTTTTCCTGCCTAAAATTGTTTTGTTTGTTTTTTTTTAGGTACATAAATATAACAGACCAGATATTATAGAAACCAACGTAAAGCCTTCCATTTTAGAAGGTGAGAGTTACATTTAGATAGAATTTCTGATTTGGAAGTATAGAACTGTGGGGGGAGAGGGAGACAGGAGAGTACTGCCTGTGCTATTACATCCTTTAATCATGTCAGTGATGAAAGGACTCATTATATCGAGTCAATCAGAGTTCTCCACTGGGTGTGAAATTTACTTCTGAACATGGTTTTTAAATATGCTATGTTGCTAAATAGTAGCACATAACTTATTTGAATGTTAAAAACCTGTGATAAGATACAATTAAGAATCTTTGGGAATAGTTTGTAAACTCAAATATGAACTGTATATTAGATAATATTGTATCAAACGGTTAATTTCCTGCATTTAATAATTGTATTGTGGTTATATAGATGATATCCTGATTCTTAAGAGAGAGATGCTGAAGTATTTAAGAGGGAAGAATCATATCTGCAACTTCCTCTCAGAGGGTTCCACAAAAATGTGTGTGTGTAGACACAGAGGAAGCCAAAAATATGGCAAAATGTTAATAATTGATAAATCTAAGTGAAGGTTATATGTGTGTACATTGAATTACTGCAACCTTTAAGTAGGTTTGAAACTTTTTCAAAATAAAAATTTTTTAAAAATAAGAAGGGACTTCCCTGGTGGTCCAGTGGTTTAGACTCTGCACTTCCACTGCAGGGGCCTCGGGTTTGACCCCTGGTCGGGGAACTAAGATCCTGCATGCTGTGTGGCGTGGCCCAGAAAATAATAATAAAAAGAAGAACTTTTGCAGATGGTTCCTCAATAACAGATGAGTGTTATCAGTTCTAGAATACTCTGGTGTTCGCTGTATCCCTTAAAAGCAAAGTGTAAAAGAAGGACATCAGTTGGACTTATAAAAGTCTTTGGGAGTAGAGGTTGATTTTAAGCTCTGCACAGTCTACCCTGTAAGTAATGTCTGGCCTTTCTGACATTAACATGTATTTATATTCTTACCCTGCCTGCTCTCTACTACCCTGTCCTACTCAAAACTGGGAGGGTTCTTTGTGTATCATTCACTTTAGGTACTCCTAACTGGATACTGGAAGCATCCTTCCTGGCCCTATAACAATCCATCTAGCCCACTCTTACTTGGATTTTTCTCCACTAATTAGAACCTAGAAAAAGTGCTTCTTAAACATATAAGTATTGGGTATTTGTAGATGAAAAACTACAAAGACCTAATACTTACATGTTTAAGAAGCATTTCAGAGACTTTCCTCCTATTTTTGTTAGCAGCTTCCTGTGCACTCCTTTTATTTACTAGTCTTCTCTTGGGTTAGATACCAAGTCTTTTGTTCAGGTGATTTTGTAAGTTTAGTGGTAGAGAGTATTCTTGGATGATGTTTTGTTTTGTTTTGTTTTGTTTTGTTTTTGCTGTACGCGGGCCTCTCGCTGTTGTGGCCTCTCCCGTTGCGGAGCACAGGCTCCGGACGCGCAGGCTCAGCGGCCATGGCTCACGGGCCCAGCTGCTCCGCGGCATGTGGGATCTTCCCGGACCGGGGCATGAACCCGTGTCCCCTGCATCGGCAGGCGGACTCTCAACCACTGCGCCACCAGGGAAGCCCTCTAGGATGATGTTGATGAACTTTAAGATCTGGAATCTCAATCTCTAGTTCTTTGTCCTATAGCAATGTTGGTTACTTCTCATTAAAGAAAAAATTCTTGCTTGAAAAACCTGGTAACTTCTTTTCTTTGTTAAGCTCCAACTCCCTCACTAACCACCCCCACTCTAGTTTTATCTCTTTGTTTAAACGTGCTCAAATTATTTTCCATCTGCACCCTTAGCCCAGAAAAATTATATGGCGTTTCTGGACTCTCAGACAGCCACCTTCAGTCGCCATAAAGCACGTCTGTTGGTGGTGCGGGAGCTCAAGGAGCAAGCACAGCAGGTGCATCTGGGTGAGTGCCCACCTGAAGACACCAGTGCTGGGGGGGGTGAGGGGCAGCGTCGCGCTTTGTCTCAGCTGCTTACTGTCCCTCCCGCAGTGTGATTACTGTGCCAAGTGGAAGTCCGAGGCCTCTGAGGGTCTGTGAGGGTCTTTGTTGTGGGTACTGGTGAGAGCTTGGGGGCAGGACCAGGCACCAATGGGCAGAGGTCTGCCAAACATTCTCTCCACACCCCGACCAGAGCAGCAGACTACTGTATTTACACAGTGATCTCATTTCCAGAAGTTCCTTTGCTTTAAAAAAAAAGACTTGCCTGGTGGTCCAGTGGTCAAGACTCTGCACTCCCAATGCAGGGTGCCCAGGTTCGATCCCTGGTCAGGGAACTAGATCCCACATGCCACAACGAAGATCTTGCACATGGCCGCAAAGATCCCACATGCCACAACTAAGACCCAGCGCAGCTAGCTAGCTAGATAAATAAATAAATAAATACGTAAAAATTTTTTATGTAAAAAGAATAAAGAAGTTTGGTGAAGTACTAGTTTACAGTAATAAAACTGTATATATTATCTATTTCATTTTGAGATCGACTTTGTACTAGTTTTCATGTCCTTAGATACGACCTGGTTAACTGTAGTTCTCTTACCCCACTGAAGGTAGACCCTTATTTGCAGGTAGTTTTCATGCTGTCTGGTTCTTCTCCTCTAGATGATGAGGCACCCCATGGTCAAGAGTCAGATCTCTTCTCTGAAACTAGCAGTGTCATGAGTGGCAGTGACATGAGTGGCAAATATTCCCACAGTAACTCCAGAATATCAGCGTATGTATCATGTTTATTCAGCACATTGACCATGCCCTGGGTATATGGAGAAAGTACAAGTAAATAGGTCAGTTTTCCAACAGGACAGTGCAGCAGGAGGGGGAGGACATTCTTCAAGGCCCTGTGGAAGCTGTGCAAGGACCTTCGCAGCATATCTAAGAGATTAGACTCAGCTTTGAGATGTTTTCTGCTGCAACTTCGTGGCCTGTGTGTTTGCCCATCAACCACATGGCGCTTACACTGGGTACTCAGTTTATATATGACATCTGACTTTATTCATTTAAGAAATATTAAGTGACTATAATGTGTAGGCACTGAGAAAAATATAAAGATTATAAATAAAAAAGATTTCACACTTCTTCAATTCAAAATTCAACTTGTCAGAAGCATAATCGAGCTAGTTGTAGTGGATGTTACCAAAACCTTTTAAGGAGATGTGAGTTATAAGAGCTTGTACTCTTCCTTGGGAAACAAAAGTATATAATGCAAGATTATATATTTAAACCAAATTGTGCTTTAGGAATTCAGAATGGAGACCTGTGAGGTTGTGTGGGGCTATCAGAAACGGCAAGAAAGCCACCTAGAACTGGGCTTTGAGAGTTGGGGTGAGAGTCCCAGACAAAACAAATGGCATAATTAAAGACCTCTGAGGCAGGAGAGAATGTGGGATTCATATATATTTTATGATATTCAAATTCCAATCTTGTATGTCTGTTATCTTACTTCAACTTAATTTTGTTGCTTTTAAACTTATTTGGTTTTTGCTACAAAATTGAAGCTGTTTGTTCTTTTCATTTTTCTGCCTCTTATTATCAGATGAAATCCAATTTTATTCTGTATTTTAATCAAAACTTCAAGGCCAGGCATCACTTTTTAGGGTTTTCCTTATTACTTCCTGCCTTTTCTCTCCCAATTTAATTTTATGTATCATCTTAACACCTTCACCATTTTCCCCAAAATACAAATACCATCTGTATATACTCTGGTTTCCCAGAAAGTTGGTGGCCAATAGTTATATTCATTTTAATCTGTTCAGCACAAGGAGAACCCCTTTTAAAACATCTCTAATTTCTAACAGGAGATCATCTAAGAATCGGCGCAAAGCGGAACGGAAGAAGCACAGCCTCAAGGAAGGGAGTCCACTGGAGGATCTGGCCCTTTTGGAGGCACTGAGTGATGTGGTGCAGGGCACTGAAAAATTGAAAGGTATATTCTCAATACTGATGATTCTTGCCCACAAAAAACATAGTAAATTCGTCACTTAAGGGTGCATTCCTGAAACAAAACTTCTCAGCCAATAGCCTAGACGTCTTCCTCTTTGGCATCCACCTACCTGAGCTGTGAGAGACTATCACTGAAACCAGGATAAAGGCAGAGGAGGCACTGCTTTCCTGCTTGGCTCTAGTGGGTTTGTTTTCTTTTTGTAGTAGATATGTTGAATTATTCCAGCTTTTGGGGAGAAAGAAGAAAATGAGGGAGATACTGTAGTATGCTATTAGATATTTTCACTTGGGAAAGAAACTCCTGTTAGGATTCTAGCAGTGGAGCTGGTGATACAACTTACCACTCTCAAATTTCTTCTCTCTAGATGAAATATACCATATTTTAAAGATACTCTTTCTCTTTGAGTTTGACGAGCAAGGAAGGGAATTACAGAAGGCCTTTGAAGATACTCTGCAGCTAATGGAAAGGTCACTTCCAGAAATTTGGACTCCCACCCCCCAGCAGAGTTCAGCTACACCTGTAAGTTTTCCTCAAAGACAGAATGTGCTTTTTTTTTTTAAATCACTTTGACAGGTTATTACTCTCACACAATCTCTTAATAGTGAGAGCAAAAGATTTTCCTGTTCTTAAAACATACTATACAATAGTTAAATTGTCTTAGGCTTATGTTTAAGCTGTCAGTAAGAAGATTTTATGTTTGATAATATAGTTCATAGTACACCTTGGCCTAGGTTAAGTTTGCTTTTTATTTCTCCTTTCTGCATGAAACTGCTGTCATGGAGAAGATGGGAAAGTCAGATGTCAGATGGTTGCCCTGACCTTCAGTGAGATTGGTCAGGGTAGGGGGCAAGCTAGGACCAGAACTGGCCTCTCACCTCTCTGTTCAGACTTATGGATGGGATCTGAGTTCTTTAAAGGAAGCCCAGACAGTTGCTTTTTCTCTTGTTTTATGGTAAATTTGACTTGTCACTTCTGTGTTGTTGTAACAAGCTTGCTGATTATGTTAACGCTGTTTGTGTCCCATCAAGAATTCTAATATATTGTCATCTATGTATTGTGTATATCTGCTCAGTCTCTTACATCTCAGGTCTGTTGTTCAAAGTTTCAGTTTTGATTCAGAAAGGCTGGTTTATCAGTCAGAGTCCATTAAGGAAAAACAAAAACCACAGCTGTTATTTTATCAGAGAGAGTTTAATATATGGAACTGGTTAACCAAGTACTAGAGGACTGAGAAGGCAGAAAGGGAACACAGAGAAGGAACATTGAGATTGAAACCCGACAGCCGCTTGTACCCATAAAGCTGAAGGAACAAAAGGAAAGTTGGGATTCTTAGAATTTAGATGCTCGGAGGTGAGGCCCCTGCAGAGCTGGTTCTTGAACCTCGGAGAAGGGGGTGGCAGCCAGCTGGTGCTGGTATTGCCAAGGGGGCAGGATGAGGCTGGGTCTAAGCGTATAGAAATAAACAGAAACTGGAACAAACAGCTGCTGCGGGGTATAGAGCTACTGTTGAGTGAAAGCAAGCGAACAAGGGAACAAATTCACTCTCTTTCCTCCGTCCAGCTGGTGTCTGGTGTCTGCTATTGTTGGAGCATAACGGCTGTCCAAGGAGGGGTGTTTTCTCAGGCCCCCAGTCCCAGCATCACGAGCAGTGTATAGGAAGGGTGGGTTTGGAGCTGAGAGAGAGGCTGGAAATCGGCTCATAAGCTTACTGGGTCTCGATTTCCTTAGTTATAAATGGGGATAATACTCTCCTGTATATTTCACTGGAATGTTTTGAAGGTTAGATGAGAGGGTAGATATAAAAGCATTTTACAAGCCATAAAGATAAAAGCAACTGAGAATTAGCCCCTCATAAATACTTGAAGTTACTATAATAAGTATTTCCTAGAAGAAATGTGATCACCTTCAGAACTAGTGCTTTCGAGGCTAACGATTTATAATGCTTCCCAATGCTCTCCCTTATCCTCGTCTATTCAGATCATGTTAACCTCTAAGATACCAACTTATGAGTCTTCTAGGGGAAATGACCAGGAAAATTGTGTTTTTGCTTTGGTTGGTAAAGCATGATAATGTCATATATGCAGTATACTACGTGGTATAGTCACATGGCAGTGTTTTGAGCACGTGACATCACTGCTGAGAGTGCGCCAGGAGAGAACACACAGACCTGAGTGAAGGCGAGGCGGAGGGCCTGGAGTGTGCCTGCTGAGGCTCGAGCGGGCATGGAATTCCTGCAAAGTCTCTTGTTTTACCTTAAACACGTGTGCGGAATTTGCATTCTCCTCCATGATATGCACAGAATTGTTTTAATGTAAAAATTTTCACAAATCTTTGAGTACAGTCTGGTGCTCTGTGTATTCTATGACCTCTTATTATTATATCCCCTCCCCCCAGGGTATGGCTCACTTATTTGGAAAGGACCAGGCATAGAGATTTTCTTTTTCTGTTTTCCCCCCATCATTACCTTGTTCTTCTGGTGGACAGGAGATGTAGAGGTCTGAATTGAGACTGGAGAAACTGGCAAATTAAAATCACATATGTGTTTGATACCATAATGAAAATGAAAGTCTATTTATTGCTGGTAGAGATTTGGTATATGCAGTCAGCAGAATTATAAGATAATCTTTGCTGATTCAGTCTACTTTCTACTTAGGTTCTAGGTCCCAATTCTACTGCAAATAGTATCATGGCCTCTTATCAACAAGAAAAGACTTCAGTTCCTGTTCTTGGTTAGTATTTTTTTCTCTCTAAATTATTATAGTACTAAGCAGAAGGAGTATCTTTTTCTAAGTGTTGAGATGGTTAGTAGTATAAAGAGAGATTGGGGAATCACTACTATTTTCCCTCAGTTCTGAGAGTCTGTCTTTAGTAAAATTAGTTTAATGCCTTTAGTGTTGGGATCCTGGGTTAGCGGGTAAGAAATCCAATGTGACATTAAATGTATAATTAAAAAAAAATTGTTCTGACATACACACTAATTAATGCAATGGCATACACTAGTCCATACAGACACATCACAGTTGAAGAAGTGTGACTCCTAAACAGTCTAATTTGCACATACATTTTAAGGATTCATCTGAATCATCCTTTTTGGCTATTGGCAGTTTTGCATTGTGTCTTGGGGACATTTTCATATTCCTTGCTTAAGAGCTGGACCATTTTAGTCATACTTAGGATTAACAGTATAATTTGAAAACAAATCCAAAGAAGAATAGCATTTCATCTGCATTTTCTGTTGAATTCCTAAAATGTTTTGTTTCTTTGTGGTGGGGGGGAGAGGATTCTCATCAGTTAGGTTACATATTCCTCAAAGTTAAAAGCCTTTCTTTTGAAAGTTGGTTAAAAACCTTTTGACAGATCAATTTGGTGCCACAGTATTCGTCCTTCATGTGGATCAGTCAAGCACAGCAACTTCTTTTTAGCTTTGAAAAGGTGGCAGTTTTTACGGCTGCTATTTGCATTTCTGGCATGTGAGAGGCAATGTTCTGAAATTTTTTCATTTAAATGCTACACTGTGGTAGCATTTTGATGACATTTGAAGTAGACTTTGTGGGAGCCATGTCAAGTTTAACTTTCATGGCTTATGTTGCTACCAGGAAAAAATTAACCACCTTCCGTTCCAGCTAAGCTCATACATGCAGAGAGTTAACTGCTGTATCCCTAGATCCCCTTCTTCCTGGAGGCTGGCAAGCTGCCTTTGGTATCAGTCCCAAAACGTACACTTATTTCTGAGATGCTACAATTCATCTCAGGCCAGAGGTTGTTTGGTAATTGTTTAGTTTGTAATGTGTTGAATCCAGTTGTGATTTCTGTCCTGTTTTCCTCACTGCTGGCTTGATGCTGACCTTCAGGTCAAGTTCAGTCACACCTTTCTCTAGGCTGGTCTAGTTGGCTTTATCAAAGAGCATTTCCATTTCTCAGCTGAGCCTTAAAGACTTTACAATTTTGAGGCTCCTCATTATCAGAGTATGTATTATCCGTGTCCCTGTGTAGGAACACTAGTGTAGATTGTTTAGTGTGCTGTGAAATTCAAACATGGAAATGTGAAAGATGTCATGTCCTGCTGTCATACAGTTTGTCAGAATAATTTCTTTCCTGCCAGTAAGTCAATACTTGGTATTTATATTTAGTTAAGTCTAAAAATCAAATATAATTGTAGTTATGTCTAATTTTTAAAAATAAAATACATTATTTTCATAACTTGTTTCTTTTTTAAAAAATGATGGAGTCTCATTCTAAGTTTACCCACTATTTTACATAAAATTATGGAGCTTGTTGACAATGAATTTAAGTAGGCTTTTCCAATATTATAAATAAGCGAAACTTCTTGTGGTCTTTCTGTCTATATAGATTTTTGTTTGGGGGTGTAGAGAGTAGTAATTGTATGTGAAATTATAAAACTGTTAGGATTAGTAGAGAAAATCTGGATTGTACAGTATGGCAAAGAAAATTAAGATTTAATAATTTCTAGTCATACATGTGTACCATGCATGTATATATGTATAATGAAAACCATGTTTTTAAAACATTTTATCTTGAGCATTTTTCACACATTTCAAAATATTCATGTAAATTATTTTTCATGTCTGTATGGGTCATATATACAGATGTACTATGAATAATACTGAGAAAGACCATCTTTATATATGCATGTTTTCTCATGTCTCTACTTCCTGTATATGATTCTACTTAGATAAGAGACTCCATAAATCTAACTGAAAGAGGGCCTGTGAGTTTTATCTAACGGTGACAAATTTCCCCCAACCATCACCCGCTGCCTCCATTTATTTATATTTTAAAAATATGGACATTTTTATTGATCAGTGTGTTTGCAGAAATTTTTATCATAAAGCATTTTCTGTCCATTAACTTTACATACTGAATACACGCCACTACTTTTTTTTACTCTTAAAATTGATGTAAATTTTACATACAGTAAAATGTACAGATGTTAGGTGCATAGTTTGATGGAACATTAACTCTGGTTCTGATGGTCGTCTTGTAGGTGCAAAGCCCAGTTGCCTAATTTTAGCTTAGAGTTACTTGCCTCAGCTCCCACCAAGAAAAAATAGTGTGCCTATCACAATTTCCCTCTCCTTTCTTGCAGATGCTGAGCTTTTTATACCACCAAAGATCAACAGAAGAACCCAGTGGAAACTGAGCCTTCTAGAGTGACTCTGGCCCCAGTTAGGAGGGCTCTGGCAGAGAAGGCTGTTTTCCTTCCACTCCTCACTCCTCGAGGCCTGGTTGCTGGGAACTGGGGAGAGTAAGACCATCTACCTTAGCATTACGGAGAGCTGCTCTGTGCAGCTGACCTCAGCAGACACCAGTTCTGTTTTATTTTGCATATAATCTTAATCATTAGCAAGGCTTTAAGCTTTAACCCATATAGCATCATTTTGTAAAAATTACTGTTCTTGTACTTAGTGCTGACTGAGAGCATATTTCTGGTATTTATGGTAATCAGGACATTGGGTTTCATTCCCAGCTACAGGTCTGAATCATATTGGGACTGTAGACAAATCACAGGATTGATTCGTGCCTCAGTTAATTGGGAATGTTTTGTGGCTGCTACCTCAAAAGTGTGAAGAAAAGTAAAATAATGTTTTTAAATTGTTTTATGTTCCTTGAGGAAAGCTTTATATATAAACAACATGGCTATTAGTGCTCCCAACATTTGGTCAAATTTAATCATTTAAATGACTTCACCTTGAACTAAAGCAGAATGAAAAGTGAAATCTATCCTTTGATATTCTAAGCCTTCCTAGGCTGACAGCGGTTATTTTCTAATATCTTGCCAGGTCATGTGCTTCCAGTTATAACTGGTTTGAGCCTCCTATCACTACAGTGTCCATATGGACTATTTTTATTGCCTGTGAATGTTCTGCTAGAGTTAGCAGTGTTAGAGCTGGAACAGATTAGAATTTCTGAAACAGTATTGCGTTCATTTGGGATGGTGAGCAGTGTGCATCATAGGCATGAACAGTAGTAAGTTACTCCTTTTTCTCCAAGTGTTGCTTCTTTTAACATAATGTTTTTGTCAGTATTTTAGGTCATTTCATTTATTTTTCTTTATGGTGCTTAACTGACTTCTGTCTTTTAGTTATTTTCTTTGGAAGAAATGAGAATGTTATCTCTTTTCAGTGAGTCTAGAAAAAAGCTCAGTTCATTTTGACAGTAGTTTGTGGCTGACTCTTGGGTAGGGTTAACAATCTCTTTCATGCTTTTAATACCAGAACCAGACCTTTATTACTCTACGTAAACTAACAGGACATCAGAGTATAGGTATACCCAGAATTGTGTAACTAAAGAAGACTGCCTAGTATAGCAAAATGTAAACTTTAGAATCTAGGTGTGTTCACTGTATAATTCATCTTTTCTGTGTGTCTGAAAATTTTCACAAAATAATAGAAAAAGTAGAAGAAGAATATCTATAATTAAGTGCCCAACGTTGAAAGGCTGCAAGTGCTTTGTGACTACTCTTTGGTGTGGATTAATGAACATGGTAACTTACATGTCATTTTAATATATTATAGTGCTCCTGCTATGGATAATAGTAAAGGGACCCATGCTGATGGGTGGGAAATAGAAGTAAATGTGTCTGTTGATAATGGTGTGACTTTGCATGGATGTTCACTTTCCTTGAAATAATATATTGAAGCAGCAAAAAAGAATTTGTGTGAATACAAATTACTATCAGTTACTCTCTCTCTGAGCAAGATGGAATTTTATTCATTTGGAGTAGAAGCAAGTGAGAGCAGACCTTCCAAACTGAAGGCTAAGTCAAGGGTGAATTCATGGGGAAAAGTGCTGTGTATGGGCAAAGGAGAAACTCCTTGGAGTTGTGAATGCTTAATTTGTGGGAAAGATTTTGTCAAGTTCTAGAGAAGGGTATATAATTCTTCCCCCAAATTTGGCCTCTTCCCAAAGCAAATTCATGCAAGAAGCTAAAAGCCTCAGTTATTTAGTTTGTTCCATGGAATCAGCTTTGTTCAGATACTCCAGACATCAAGAGGAAACTTGCAGAGGACTTTCTCCGATAAATGCACATTTTAAATTTAGACTTCTTTAAAAAACAGAGGCAGGAGCTAATGTTTTTATTATGTCTTTATGAGTATAGCTTGGTGTAATTTCTTAGCATTGCCACGTATTTTAAAATAACTTTATTTTCCATATGTATCTACATATATACACACATGCACACATCTGAGGGATTTTTCATAGTCATAATTGAAGAGGATTTCTTAAAAATAAGCTTTAAGGCATTTTGAGTTTATTTTTGTGCATGGTGTAAAGGTATGTTCTCACTTCATTGATTTACATGCAGCTGTCCAACTTTCCCAGTATCACTTGCTTAAGAGACTGTCTTTTTCCCATTTTATATTCTTGCCTCCTTTAAGGTTTAATTGACCATAGGTGTGTGGGTTTCTGAGTTCTCTGTTTTGTTCCATTGATCCATGTGTCTGTTTTTGTGCCTATATCACACTGTTTTGATTACTGTAGCTTGGTAGTATTGTCTGAAGTCTGGAAGGTTTATGCCTCCTGCTTTGTTCTTTTCCTCAGGATTACTTTGGCAATCCTGGGTCTTTTATGGTTCCATGTAAATTTTAGGATTATTCTAGTTATGTGAAAAATGTCATAGGTAAGTTGATAGGGATTGCGTTAAATATGTAGATTGCTTTCAGTAGTATGGCCATTTTAATGATATTAATTTTTCCATTTCAAGAGCATGGGATATCTTTCCATTTCTTTGAATCAACTTTAATTTCCTTTATTAATGTTTTATACTTCTCAGCATATAAGTCTTTAATCTCCTTGGTCAGGTTTACTTCTAAGTATTTTTATTTTGGGGCTGTGATGTTAAAAGGTATTTTTTTTTTACATTCCCTTTCTGGTATTTAATTGTTAGTGTAAAGAAATGCAACCAGTTTCTGTATGTTAATCTTGTATCCTGGTACTTACTGATCAGTTCTAGTAGTTTTTGTGTGGAGTGCTTAGGATTTTCTATATACAGGGTCATGTCATCTGCAGATAATGAAAATTTTACCTCTTCCCTCCCAATTTGGATACCTTTTATTTCTTTTTCTTGTCTGACTGCTGTGGTTAGGACTTCCAGTTCTATGTTCAGTAGAAGTGGTGAAAGTGAGCATCCTTGTCTTGTTCCAGATTTTAGCAGGAGGGCTTTCAGCTTTTCACCATTGAGTATTATATCGGCTGTGGGTTTGTCATAAATAGGTTTTATTATGTTGAGATATGTTGCCTCTCTACCCACTTTGGAAAGAGTTTTTATCATGAATAGACACTGAATTTTGGCAAAAGCTTTTTCTGCATCTATTGAGATGATCATGTGGTTTTTGTCTTGTCTTTTGATGTGGTGTATCACATTGATTTGCATATGTTGAACCATCCTTGTGAAGTTGGGATGAATCCCACTTGGTGTATGATTTTTTTATTTATGGTTGTGTTGGGTCTTTGTTGATGCTCATGGGCTTTCTCTAGTTGCGGAGAGTGGGGGCTACTCCTCATTGCAGTGTGCGGGCTTCTCACTGCAGTGGCTTCTCTTGTTGTGGAGCACGGGCTCTAGGCGCGCAGGCTTCAGTAGTTGTGGCGCACAGGCTTAGCTGCTCCATGGCACGTGGGATATTCCCGGACTAGGGATTGAACCCGTGTACCCTGCATTAGCAGGCAGATTCTTAACCACTGCACCACCAGGGAAGTCCCATGTATGATCTTCTTCATGTGTTGTTGGATTCAATTTGCTAATATTTTGTTGAGAATTTCTGCATTTGTATTCATCAAAGATACTGGCTTGTAATTTTCTTTTTAGGTGATACCTTTGTCTAATTTTGGTATCAGGGTGATGGTGGCTTCATAGAATGTCTTTGGTAGTGTTTGTTCCTCCTCTTCAGTGTTTTCAAAGAGTTTGAGAAGAATTGGTATAGGTTCTTCTTTGTATGTTTGGTACAATTCACCTGTGAAGCCATCCAGTCCTGGACTTTGTAGGGAGTTTTTTCAAATTGTCTATTTCTTCTTGATTCAATTTTGGTGGGCTCTGTCTTTCTATAAACTTGTCTATTATATCTAGGTTTTCAAATCTGTTGCTATATAATTGTTCATAGTATTCCCTTATAGTTTTTTGTATATCTGTGTAACTGGTTGATTTTTCATTTCTTATTTTGCTTATTTAGGTTCTCTTGTCTTTTTGTGCCTGGAGAGTTTTGTCAATTTTGTCTGCCCTTTCAAAGAAAGAGCTTTTGCTTTTATTGGTTTTTGTTCTTTTTTTAATCTCTATTCCTCTCTGATCTTTATTCTTTCCTTTCTTCTGCTGACTTTGTTTTGTTTGTAATTCTTTTAAGTGGTTGGTTAGGTTGAGATTTTTGTTTTGTAAGGAAGGGCTGTATTGTGATAAACTTCCCCCTAGAACTGGTTTTGCTGCATCCCCTAGATTTTGTATGGTTGTATTTTCACTGTCATTTGTCACAAGGTAATTTTTCATTTCCTCATTGACCCATTGTTTTTTTAGTAGCATGGTGTTTAGTCTCCATGTAATTGTTTTTCGCATTTCTTTTTCTGTGATTTCAAGTTTCATGGCACTGTGGTCTGAGAAGATGCTACAAATAATTCCTACACTCTTAAATTTGTTGAGGTTTGTTTTGTGCCCTGGTATGTGGTCAGTCCTAGAGGATGTTCCATGTGCACTTGGAAAGAATGTGAATTCTGGTTTTTTGGATGTAATGTCCTGGAAACATCAATTAACTCTAACTGTTCTATTGTATCATTATATGTTCTATTGTATCATTATATGTTCTATTGTATCTCTAGAAGAGATCATAGGCAAAACATTCTCTGATATAAATCGTACCAATGTTTTCTAAGGTCGGTCTTCCAAGGCAATGGAAATAAATATAAATGGGACCGTGTCAAACTTAGAAGCTTTTGCACAGCAAAGGAAACCATAAACAAAACGAAAAGACAACCTACAGAATGGCAGAAAATATTTCTAAACGATGCTATGGACAAGGGCATAAATTCCAAAATACACAAACAGTTCAAAAACAACCAAATCGAAAAATGGGCATAAGACCAAAATACACATTTCTCCCAGTAACATACAGATGGCCAAGAAGTACATGGTAAGATGCTCAACAGTGCCTATTATTAGAGAAATGCAAATCAAAACTACAATGAGGTACCACCTCACACAGGTCAGAATGGCCATCATTAAAAC